CAGGCCACGCACAGACAAATATGTTCCACTAATCAAAGGTACAGAAATCTAAATGTTTGTGGCCAACGTATCAAGCAAAGGACAGCTTAAATCTGCAAGATAAACTGTGGGAAATATTTTGCTCACTGCTAAGGGACAGTGTTATTCTTCTTGCCTTGCAGATGCTCTGATGCTGTTCTTGCAATAACCTCCACAGTTTCACTCAATTTCTTTGGCATTTCAGCAAAACCAAAACTTTTCCTCCAATGATTTATTCTTTATATGCCTGCAGATTGGGTGCACTGCAGCCATGTTGTGCTTTAATTCATATGGGAGGAAGTTACATCCTGACAGCATCATCAGCACAAGTCTACTACAATATTTAGTTTCCAAGAATATCCGAAAAATAAGCTGAGCGTGGGCCTTATATTTCCATCCATGTTCTATACTAAAGCTCTGTGATGGCCTTCTGCCATAAAGGCAAAGGGAAGGCATCAACAACAGACAGAATTATCCTCTGAGCTGTTCAGCCTTGTGTACTACTCATTCTCCTTTCCATCCTCATGTCCTGAATGCAACATCCACATCTCACACAGGTGCTGCTTCTTTCCTATCCAAGGATCTCCTCTGTTCCCAGATTTTCTGGTCTAGCTGCCAGATATAAACCCACTGACCAGCTGCCTGGGGGTCCAAAAGCGGGAGGGACACTGTTTGGCACTTGGAAGAAGGCGCCTTCCAAGTGCAGGTCCCCATCTGCAGCTGGAATCCACGGCCATCTCCTCTCACCTCACATCTCATGCAGACACATATCTGTAATGTAGACAGATGTGTGGTGATTGCAGTCACTGGAAAAATCCATGTTCTCCGTTTAATTCAAAACTTTTAATTCAAAAGGAGCATATCGGGCAGGGGGCTTGTTTGGAATAGTTGGGATGAAACCAAGGGGATGAAATATTTTTGTATCACAGGACTCTTGCTGATCATCCCTATAATTATCCTGTTTTTCAGACTCACTTTTACTAAACGTTATGTACTTTACCTTAGTTGCCAAAACTCATTTCTCTGCTTGGAATGGAGCATATTGATTCCTTTGCTATGTAAGGTCTACCTGACGCACTGAAGAACAGGATTTTAGAGGAACAAGAGAATTCAAGAGAGGTAAATATGAAAGTGCCTACATACCCTAACTACTGCTAGTACTTTGCTGTCTAATAGGGAGAACCTACTTTTTCCACGTCAGACTAAATTATGACGAGAATATAAAATATTTTCTGCTTGCTGCATTTTACAATTGACCTAGCCCCACTAAACTGGCACTGATTACAGTTAGTTTCAGCTGTTAGGAAAAAAGAAGACATTTTGGCAAACTAAACTGAACCAAAAAGGTTATTTTCTGGAAAGCCTTCTTCATATATCTCACATTACTCGCTTTACCTCAATGCTGTGTCTTGTGTAGTCAAGTTTATATTAAGTGTATTTAGGCTGGAACAGTTCTCAATTAACCTAGCACAGTAACTTGCTTTTCCCCTAAATCTTAGCTTTCAGAAGTGAGAAACTTCCTGCTGTATCTTTAATTGCCTGTGCTTTTCTAGAAGACGGCTCAACATCATCAACTTACAAAGTGGATAACCAAGAAATGCAACATTTCTTCTTTTTTTCAAACAGATATCTCTTCCTTGTTTACAGATGGGAAGGCTATGGCTGTTTGCACAATTACTTATCTCACGCTTTTTTTTTTTTTTCGCTTTCCGTTTCCCCTATATTGGAATACAATCTCATTGCTAATACAAACTGTAATTGCTTCCTACTGCAGCAAGGTTATCAATCAGATGCCTAGTAGAACCTTGAAAGGTCTCTGAAGCACAGAAAAGTCTGTAGATAACTACACAGTATGACAGAGACAGCCTTCACAAAATATATGAATTAAAAGACCTCTTTCTGTGTTCTAAGCTAGCTTTATTTGTATAGCATTTTCTCTTTTCCAGTCGTTATAGTCCTCCAACTAAGAAAGGTAGTTTAAAAAGGAAAATAAGACTGCCAAGTGTCCCAACTCCTTTCCCCTTTTCTTTTATTTCCATGAAACTGATATTTTTAAAGGATAAAAAAGTCTGAATTTTAAATTCCAGAAGTGACCTACTACAGACGGGGACTTATTAAGCTGCTTCACTATCAGACTCTGCTTATAAGTAATTCACATTCAAGACAAGATCACTGCAGACTTTCCTATCCTATACACTTTTTCTCCATCCTCTACATCAGAATCACTACAAATTCAAGCTAATGATTACAAGCATCTAGATCCATAACATACAGATCCATAACAACACTGAGGGTTTCAGTTATGTTAATTCCTGTGCCCAGAGGCTTTTCTGCAACACTGAATTAAAGAAGCCACTGTATCATTCATTTAACAAGACAATTATCTTGGAATTAAGACTAAGTAGAATGCTCTTCTTTTCAAAGAGGCAGTCTTATAAAAGGTTTGGAGCGCAGACAAAAACAACTTACATTGCTTATGTCATCAGTCTGCAACACCTTAGCAAGTTTTGGAAGTGCACACTCAGTGGTCTTAAAGAAAGGGCTGAATAACCATTACGGCTAACATCAAAGGCAGTCTTATCTATATATATATTTTTAAATGAAGTAGATCATCTCCTTGAAACTATTGCTTTTTAATGGGGCATTTTAGAAAGGTTTCTTTTTATTATTGTTGCAGTTGAATACATTAAGAGGACTATCCCATTTACCAACCACCCATTAGTGACACCTGCTGAAATCCTTTTGGCCTGAAGGTGAGAAGTGTTTACTCTGTGCAGTATTATAGCACACTTAGATGTTTGCTGAAAAAGGGTTTAATGCCTTTAGAGAAGGAACACTGGGCAACACTAGGAAAATCCTAAATTTGTGTGGCACCTCTCAGTGAGAGAGTTGTACTTCCCATTCATTTGCCGAAGCTGCAGAGGAAACTGGAGGTATGTTCCTTGCACAGGAAGAAAATACCTTGTACTTACCAACTGTCCTACTGGTCTATATTCAGGATGTATTAAAGTATCTCAGAATACTGTGAGCAGAAAACACATACACTAGAATCCTGTCCCCATCTTGCCACTCCACTGGTATGGAAGATACTATTCAAATTAGAGAAGGGGAGCACAGACCACGTAAGGGGGAAAAAAAGGCAATTCACATGAACAAAACTGAACTATTCTATTCCTCCGTCTGTTGCTGGGAAACCTCCTCTGCTGGGCATGCAAAGGTTTGGGAAGGCTGGTGGCTAAGAGCAGCTGGGACCTTAAAATAACCTGAGCCATGAGTGATGTGGTGCTGCTCACTAGGATCTCCTCATGTAAGTGGGAGATTCTTCCCCAGCGAGTTGCAGAGGTAATCACAGAGCAACACTGCTCCTATTAGACAGGTCCTCCAGCCTTGGTAGAGTTGCTCACATTACAGATAGGATTTTTCCCTCAAAGAGGACATGTAACAATAAAGATGATCGCATGCTTGGTAAAAGAAGAATATATCTAGACAAAAACCGATGATGAACACACAGATGTTACACATACAACAAACATGCAGCTGACAGGATGGAAAAGATCAATTCCAGAAATGGGTCTAACAATCCATTTTTATTGAAAATTGTGATGTTAATTCTACTGTATCTGTGTAAGCAGCCTTCAGTGTCTAGGTACTTGTGCTATATGACCCCATGGTACTGTTCAAGTGGCAATAAAAAGTCATTCATATCTGCAAAAAACTTACTTTTCAACTGCTTTGTGAGCTACAGTTTTGTTCTTCACAGTGAAGTGCACTCATTATCTTCTCCTAGGCTATATTCCTCTGCTGGACGCTCTTTTTTGAATACAGTTGTTAAATTAAGATCCTCTCACATCATTTATATTTGAGGACCATCCAGGAATTAATAACTCAAAGATTTCACATGTCCACAGACATTTCACTGGCACTTCTGTTTCTTTACACAGTAAAAACAGTCTCTCACGCATAAAGGAAGAGAAAAAGGCAAAGAAACAAATAAATATCAGTCCACTGAACCACAATGAAAATTAGGCTGGAGAATAATCTATCCATACAGTCTGCAAAGCACACCAAATTCAAAAGAACAAGAGGTTCAACTATCTGCATGTAGGAGGAAAAAAACTATAGGTGCCAGAGCATAACATAAACCATCATCTTCAAACAACACTGCACAGTTTGGTTCTTTGCCTGTCTTTCTAGAGCACCCCCGCCCCCAAAAAAGAAAAAAAAACCAACCCACCACACACACAAAGAGGAGAGATTAATTAAAAAAAACAATTTTAGAAAGTTGGTTAGCCAGCAGGATATTTACTTCTTGATTCGGAATGAGCAAATTGAAAAAGAGTGCGTATGCAATAGCTGATATTTGTCACTGTTTGAGATAACTGATAGTATCAATTGAACAATTATCCTTCACACCCAGAATCATCACATCAGTGCGGCTATATCAATAAAAAGGCATTCTGCAGTCTGAGAGATTGTTAAACAGCATAAATATGTATCAGAGACAGGAAAAAAATCTATTTTTTTCTCCCCACCAAACACCAACAATAGTCTTCTGCAATCAGTCACTATTATCCCCGACATTTATAGGGAAGGTTTGCTAGTGGATGAGGATCAGAAAAAGAAAGCAAGAGAACATGGACACAAACAGGTCAAAGCGCGGAATAAGAATATCAAATATCTCATGGATAAGAGCATGCTGTATTAACAGATTCATTCAGGAAGGCAGCTATTCACTAGCACTGAGGTTGTCTAGGTACAACACATTGGGATTGCACTGTGATTACTGTAAGTTCAGTACTAACACAAAACTGAAATTCAAGATAACGATTTTAAATAAAAGTATTTATTCCTGAGTGTGTTGAAGAAAATGTTTTGAGTAAAAAAATGCAATGCAAATACACAGTAAACATCAAGAATTTCTTGGTATACAGCACTAAAAATATTCTGACAACACAGAAAAATAAGTCAAAAATTTTACTTACTTTGGATGGGTAAATTCATCCAGTAGGACAACCTTTTCTATCAGGTCTCCACCAATGGTCCGGGCCAAATCATAGAAATCATTTTTAGAGTATGTCTCTGAAGGCAACCAAAAGGAGATGTCGTTGATCAAGGGTGGATATTTGCTGAGCGGCTAAAAAAATGAAAACACATACCTTTCTAAATGGCTGGCTTGGGTAGGAATACTCATAACTCTATTCTGAACTTGTGTAATATACACAGTACATATTTTGGAAGCTTCCTGAAAAGTATTTTGAAGTGCAGTCTGACCTCGGAAACAACTGAGATGCAAAATTTTATTTTAGAAAATATCTTTTAAAGATGCCCTCTCGACCATTTTGCTTCATTCAGAAGAGAGAGACTTCTAGCTGAGACTTCCTCAAACTTGCTCATTCTTCATTCCTGTTTAATCATCCTCATCACTAGACAAAATCTTGTAGGAAAACCATGAAGATAGCACTTTATTCATTTTTTTTTTTTTTGTTAAGAGGAGGCTGAAGTTCGAGGAGCGCTCAAGAGTAAAAGTTGGCTTTGCAGTTAGGATAAGCATTAATTCTGTTAATTGCCTGTGAACAAGAACTGTATTTAATTACCTCTTTTCTAGGTGTTTTGGCTCAGAGATTCTGAAAGGAAGCAGTAAAAGAAAGAACTTCTTTTGTTTGCTAAAATCAGCATTTATGACCATGAATACACTTTAGGTTCAGAGCTATTTAAAAGGATCATTTTAACATGATTATTCCCTAGGTAGAATTGCATTTTTTAAAGGCAGTTTTAAGATTTTTCACAAATTCAAAAATTCTTATATATAACATGATAGTTCTTAATTCTTAATATAACATGATATATTTATCACTTGTAATGCCCAATTTAATGCTAAGAAAGTGTTATAAATAAGTACCTTCTTATTAAAAGGGTTACAATAAGTAACATACTTAGACTAAAAAACAGGGATTGATTAATTTCCCAGTGGTTTTTAGGAACTTCCAGACAAGACAAATATTTATTTTTTTCAGTTCTGATGAAACTTCACTGGAGTCAACGGACTTCAAATCACGCCTTTGCTGAGACATTTACCCCTTTGATGAAAAGAAGGTGGTAATGCTCTTTTTCAAGTTCTTTTGGTCACACACACAGTATCTTACTTCTGCTTTTCCATTAAGGCACCGCAGCTGAAGCAAGTACTTTGGCACAAGATTGTTGGGGTCTGCAGAAGAGAACAGCTTTTCTTATTTTGTTTATACGTATATAACAGCTGATGCATATACCTTGGTCCACACAGTATATCATCTCACTCAAAAATGTATTCTGTGCCCTGGAATGTTTTATGATGGAACACCGAAATCCTAAGTGAATACCTGCTAAAGCAATAAACCTGCTAAAAAGGCAAATTCACAGCATGTCAATTTACACAAATCCTGTTCTTACAGGGTAAACCCTTAAATAAATATCTGATAAGGAATACAGTGCAAGCCTTAAATTAATAGCCCCCCCCAGTGAATTAAACTGTGAATCACAAATGATTATCCAACTTGTTAAAGGAATAAACTTGTCAAATGAATTCATATCCTGTATACCAAATTCAAAAAAACCTTACACAATAAAGCTGTCACATAGGAGCTCTTGATGAAATACCAAAAGCTAATGAATTAAATGCAAACATCTCCTCTGCTCCACCAGAGTCACAGCTGTAAATGCTAGAGATACTCCTCAACATGATACATGTGTTAAAATAAATAAAGTATAATAATAATAATCCTGTAGTAGACCCCTGCATTTGTACCTCACCCCAGTCTACCATTACACTTACCACTGCTCAATTTCAGCAACCTACTGAACACATTTCAGAGCTTGCAGGGACTAATACAAAACTCACTGAACTTCCAGCTTTAGAACATTTAATTATTCAACTAGAAGATGTGGCTTATGAGCCTAAGCATAACCACTCCATTTGGGTAGGTGGCTTTTTTCGTTCTTAAGGGTATTAAGGACACTAAAGAAAAAAAACTACATGCTCAGGCAACTCAGGAATATACCAAAACCTGAAAGAAGCACAGTACACACAATTCATAGTGAGTATTTGCCACCAATCTCAAAAAGGGTGGGATTATGCTAGTCACATGAAAACACTTCCCCACTTGAACTGGGGTGTACACAGGGATCTAGCACGGCTGGATCTTGCGAACTTACCTGAACTGTCTGACTTACATCAACAGGGCCATCAAACACCATGTCAACAAAGGTACTCAAAACGTAATAATCCGTAGGATCTGGCCCTGTTTCTGCATTATCAAGTCTATAAGAAAACTGTTTCACTGAGTCAATCCATAGCGTTACTAACTTAGATACAGAATTACTGCAATTTTGTGTGTGCGCGCATGTGTGTGTATGCTGAACGGGTAAAGTAGACTGGAAGAACAAATGCTTAAAACAATAAGCCTAACTTTTTTTTAGTATTAGGTACCAACCTTTTCTCAGAGACTTATACAGAAAAATCATTTATGGTAAAAGACAAGGCAATAATCCCATATTAAGCTCTCACTTTACCACCTGGCCACAGTCAATATCATTGCAGTAAGTATTATATCAACACTGAAGTTAGTATATGGATAAAATTCCTGGCTCTCAAATGCATTGATCTGTTTGTTGTAGAGCTACATAACTGTTTATTAGCTACATCTAAAAAACATGAACATGATAGGAAAAGAGTCTCCAATTGGCAGGTCAAAATGAAGCTACTAAGACTATATTCAGACACCCAAGTAAATACCTGCTGTGTTCCAACAGATCATGTTGCCAACACTACCCATTTTTCAAAACTCACCTGCCCTTTAATAATGGAGTGACCTAAAGCCCGTTGACTTCAATCTGTTTTCAGGTGCAAGCAAACAGCAGCCCCAAAGGCTGTTTCCCTCTGAATTTACAGACCTATCACAGGCCCCTCTTGAAATCAATGTGCTCTTTCCACTACATTTTTGGCTCCATTGTCGTTCCCAGCCACCGGTTCCAGCTTCCTCTCCTCACAATTTTGGTGTCCTCCAGCACACCTCGCTCTCCAAAGTTAATAAGACGTTGGCTTCCTCTGACCCCTGCACATTGGCCCCGACTCCCAGCACGCTGCCCTAGTCTGCAATCCAGCAAGTCCTGATTCCCCAGCCTTAGCAGCCTTATTAGCGCTTGCTTTGGTTTGTTTTAAGATTTATGAGTATAGCAAAAAGGTTCAGGAAAAAGTACAATTGATACCACCTGCACAATGCTGGCTGGCGCTGGTCACACCTCACAGACAGCACTGCTGATGCACGGCCAACTCTGCACCATTTCTTTGGCCCCATCACAGTTTTGCAGATGCTTGTCGCCACTGCGCTACATTAAATTTTCTGTCTACTTTCCATTTCAAATACTGCAGTGCACTCTCTTAGCCACTCTTCAATAGCCTCAGAAAACAAAAGAACGCTTTCCCAGTAATTACACTATCTATAAGATTCCATTGAGCTCAAATTGTAGGGCATATTGCAAATAATGACATTTTATTCTTCAACTCCCCAGGTGAAAAAATGTAGGGGTTCTGAATTACTAGGGTTTTTTAAAATAAAACAGCTTTTTGATAATCCACCTTCAATGACTCATGTTTACCAGCTGTAAGCCACACATCCTTCTCTGGCTGTCCCTGGTTAATAAATAAGAGAAGTACTTACCGATACTGCAAACTTTTCTCTCTGGAGACGCTTATTTTAGTTTAAAAATCAGTAACTGGGCACCACAGCTGTAACAGTATCCTCTCTGCCAGCCTGCCTAGCCTGTGCAGTCATGGACTGCTGTAGCTGGAGGAACGCGTCGCTGAACACTCAGGGCAGAGTGTTTCCTCCGCACGAGTTCGTGATAGCAAACAGCTATGGTGGCATAAGGCCTTCCCGATCCCCAGCTCTTTGCTTCAGCTTTCTGTCTGAGATTACTACCTCTGCAGCAGTCGCCAAAACAAATATGTGCCTGTTCCTCCACCACTGGAGCTCACAGTCTGGTGTAGCTAGCTGAAAATTGCCTTTATCAGCGGTTTATGCTAATACATGTTGGACCAAGAACTGCAGCAGCTTGAGGCACTGGTGGACAGCTGTCTTAAGCAGCAGTAGAATCCACCAGAATTCATCTGTTGCCATAAAATAGCAAGCACTTACGCTCTGTGTATGTTGCCACACCAGTGGGATACTCTTGACACCATGGCAAATGGAAGCAAGTGGTCACTGTCAGAGTTTTCTCTCTTCATTCGCACACAGCGAAGGATCGCCAGCTAACCTGCACCCAGGTATCTCACAACTACACAGGAGAGAAAACACAAGAGGCCACCTCTTGAGAAAAAAAAAGAGGATAATGAACAGTCAGTGCTAGCGATTAAGCCAATACAAAGCTACAGAACATTTTTAGCCTTAAGTTCTGAAATACAGGAAGAATCCCAGGGCTTTTCATGAATATTTGTTTCTGAAAAAATGTTTTCTCTGGGTGCAGTAATCAGAAGTGCAATATGCTAAAGGAAAGAGAAGAACTTCTGTGAGGTAGCTTTTCAATAAAATTTTCTCCCTGCTACCGGTACCAATACGATAACACAATGAAAGAACTATAAATCCAGTGGAGGAAAAGCCATACCCTTTTTTTTGACAACTGTAACACAAATACAACATTAACAATGACACGTATCAAAAACTGGGTTAGCAATTCCACAACAGCCGAACTGTTAAAAAGCCAGCCATGTTTTACTGCCATCACTGGTCTAGTCAGAAAAATATGAGACTTATCAGTATTACGACCACCTAGCTTTATTAGTCCTGCACTGCCCGTGTTTTGGAGAAATATGTACATAAGCTATACAGGGTTTTAATGCAACATAATATTCTCATTGAAATGAAAACTACGTTCCTGTAATAGCTAAGCCTTTCTTAATATACTCCACACTGAAACTCCATTAACTCAATGTTATTGTAGGAAATTTAAACGTGCAACAGGCATGAAATTCAAATTTGCAAATTTACAGCTGTAACTTAGACTCCTTGCACATAATGAAGCATCCTGTATTAGTGTATACGCTCCTAGATTTGTGTTTTTGTATTTATGACCAGCGTAGACAAATTACAGTTGCTGCAGGAA